TGGCCTTCTACTCTTTTAATACCGAGTGGATGACGCCCTATACCGTTTTAGTAGGCCGAATTTTCAGCCTATCAACCACTTCCTTCATTGTGCTAACCAATAGGGATTGCTTTAAGAAGAAGAAGAAGAAGAAGAAGAAGAAGAAGACTCGATTGCTGGGACAATGCTTTTATTCTCCTGACGTTTCGAGATCCGTCGCGGATTCATTATCAGAGACATAAGCAGAAAGCAATAGCACCCGTATTTGCTACCGCTTTCTGCTGATGTCTCTGATGCTGAATCCGCGACGGATCTCGAAACGTCAGGAGAATAAAAGTATTGTCCCAGCGATCGAGTCTTCTTCTTCTCAATTACTGACCGGGACTCGCATCTTCGCTTGTATATGAGTTGTTTTACTATTCTCATTGGTTAATAGGCATCCTTTGCTGACCAATAGGAGCAAATTTTGATCGATTGTATTCATTCCTGATACTTAACACATGTATTTTTAGTTCAGTAAAACTATTACAAGCGGTTTAATTTAATTTCTACGATGCACTTTTCATGCATTATCTACACCTTAACCAAACATTAGACCTTTAACCGCTATTTGCGTAAGAAACTTTGGCAGGAGGCTTTTACAATTTGGCGGCCCCATGATGAAGGGCTACCAAAAATATTTTACCTAGGATCACACCATAGAAAACGCAAATGGAATGAGCGCTTCCAAATAATCTTCCATGATCAGTTGAGGATAGTCCCGCCAGATTGGGAGGATGTGTGACTTGCTCCTGAACGCTGTCGGTCGCCGAAACTGGCGGGTCCCGAAGTAGCACACCCAACTGACTCATCGCATGTTTCCCTATAGCAAGTAGCTTTTGAGTAAGTATTTATCACCTGTAAAGGTCTAGAGTGTTCATGTGAGTCTCTTTTTGTAGGGGACTTTCACGTACCCCGGCAGGCTATGAGAATGGATATCGCCCCCAGTGCGGGTGCCTTTGCGCTAAATTCCATGAAAATTGGGGTTGGGGTAAAAATTAAGGTACAAATTAGTATTAGTATCAGTTTATTGAGGTAATGGTAGGCGAATGCCTTTGAGCTCCCAATAGGTAAAAAGGTGACTAAAAATACATAGATAGAAAAGAAAAAGAAAAAATACTTCATTTTTATGCTTGCAAGTGAAGAACGAGAAGCTGGTGTAGTCGAAATATTAATAATATATGACTACTCGCTTAGCATGAGTAGTATACTAAGTATTGTAATAAGTACCTGAGGTAAGTATGCATAATACTCTCTCTTTCTCGTGAGTTCTATTGACGCTGGTGAATAAACTGTTTGGTGTATGCCCAGTTTGCTCTTAAATGTGCTCACGCATGTGGAGAGGACAACCTCTTCGGGAAGAGCAGTGCACGCTGCAACCACTCAGGTACTGAAGAATCATTTACGTGTTTTGATCCGTGTTTTGCCGGGACGTAGTTTAGGGGGATGAAGGATGAAGTTTAGGACTAGAGTTACGGTTAAGACTTCGGTGAAAGTTAGTACTGGAGCTACGATGCCGGAACATTAATCCCTTCTGGAACTTAGTGTAAGGCCACCTATATATCTTGGCGGGTTGTTCCTACTGCCGTGTCCCGTAGGAAGGGAGGTTCTAGAAGCAATTCCGACCTCTTCTTCGTTGGTAGATGTCTGCGTATCAGCAAAGATGCTTGTTATGTTGCAATATTATTTCTAAAAGGATTTTACTCGACTACTTTCGTAAAAAATTGATAGTAGCATATGTTCCATAAGCATTTGCCGAGGGGTGGAGGTTGGTCTGGAATGAGACCGTCTGTCAAACGCTTTGCTGTCTTTACTATCTAATGGTATTACAGAAATGGCTAGAATCACAACTGACGGGCCCTCCTTCTCGTTCTTCCATGCAGTAGTTGCTCACTAAAGACTGTCCAACCTATTGACAATCAATGCAAATTGGAAGCTCGAGCGAGGGAATTCTCGCGTAAATTCCCTTCAGTCGTGTCTTCGCGTCCATCTTGTGTGACTTTAGTTCGCACACTCACTGACCGCCAGAACACTTGCATACCCCCATTTCTGCTACCGTTTTCTGTTAATGTCTCTGGTGATGAATACGCGATGGATATCGCACCGTCAGGCGAATAAAAGAATTGTCCCAGCGATCGAGTCCTCTTCCTCTCACTTGTCATACTCTCAAAAACACAACCCCCCGTGCCCCTACAGGGGATGGGGGACGCTGTTATTGCATGTTATAGCACGGACTCTCGTGACCATTTGAAATACACATAAATCTTCTTACCCACTGTTGTGAGAAGCATGTTGTCCAAAAAGAGTGCTATTGCGACCATCAGTAGGACCAGCCTCCTATGAGTGCGCGAGGGCCCTACGTCCTTGAGCGCATCACCACACCGGTTCATCAGGCCTCGGTGGGATCCCTCGATCGGTTCGTGTGTCATCTGAAAAAGAGGAAATAAAATCCCAAAATCAACTTAACGGTGTGCAAAGCAGTGATCGTGGCATGACATTTTTCCTGTCTCGGGAACGTGAAAACGTTACTCTTAATTCCTTTTTACTGGTGTGTAATCCATAAAAACAATTGGTGCTGAAATGTCATTGTGCGCCTCGCTTCGCACAGCTTAGCTCTGAACAGTTTTCGGTTCGTGCTGATCGTAAGGAACTACACTAGATTGCTCTCTTCCCATTCACCGGCCCAAATTCAGGTTCATTCGTTATACTTTAATCCTCTCTTGTTCAAGTGGAGATTTACTGGCAGGAATGGGCGCACACAAATCTACTGGCTTCCCAAAACAAACGAACTCCGTATGGGTGACGAAAGTCACGTCGACCAAGTGAAAATAGTGCAGGAGAGAGAGGAGATGGGAGGCGGGTGGATTGCTACAGTACTGTTTTGGGCTTACTTTGCCTCTACTCAGCCAATAATAATCCTGACCACCAGGCTTAACCCAAAAACACAAACATGCACTCGTATACGGCGCAAATAATCCACATACCAGGTCTAGTATTCTCTGCCTTCCCTCCTCTCTGCAAATATAAGTTTGCCGACCTTTGTCTTATAATTGGTTGCCTGTTCGTGAGCGTTGCCACCGGAGCGTTGGCTTCGGAAAACCAGTAGATCCGTTCGCGCCTCTTCCTGTTTGAATAAATACCTGATCCGCAGCGAAAACGAATGACAGGTGGTGAGGCACTGGTGAACTTCGGTTCAACGAAATGCCTATGACCCAGTGTGTGGACTAACTGCGCTGCACTCGAGCGCATGTCTTTGCTTCCAGCTCCAGCTGGTATTCCGAATTATGATTTGCTAAATAAGCCCGAAACAGGCTGTATCACTCTACCCGTATTTTCTCCTATCGACCTCCTCTGAAAGAGGTATAATAGGATTTAAATATAAAAACTTATGCGTGCAAGAAGGAAGGAGATTGATTGGCCAACGGAAACATGCCCACTCATTTGCTGGTATAATGTTTAGACAACGTTATTTGACTTCGTTACGTGTGTTTTCTCGTGAAAAAAAAAACAGAAACTATTATTTTTTAGTTTCAGATATTAAGAAAGTTTTATTGAGAGTACAATGGCCTCTCACTAGATTACGCCCCACTTTCCACGGCTGCATTCTGTCGCGGATTTACAAGCAAGTATATCGATTTCAGGATTTTTCGCTGGTTCGCGAATATCTGCGGACAGTGGGCGTTTTACTATTTCTGCGACATGCTTTCTCAATTAATTTCATTCACGGGACGTTATGGGCGGATGGGTGTAGCAAGTGTGAATGAAAATCCGGCCAGATGGCCCAGTAATTATCACGTCAAAATCCAACACGGGTGATGGAATTTCAGTAGGTTACGAACCGCACGCCGGCCATCAAGCAATCAGCGCACAAGCCTGCAAATATTCTCAATAGGGAGAGAGCCCTTAATTGTCATACAGTATGGCAAGTCCTGCAAACAACTTTCATGAGGAAATTTAACTTGGTAGTTTAGCATATATCTGGACAGGTTATTTTGATCAACTGAGTGGATTAATCATAAGAAGAGCTTTGGTTAGGAAAACAGTCATTTAAATTAAATATATAGAGCATAAAAGGCACTAATTTTGACTTAATCATGAGTAAGTTTTTTATCGAACAAATTTCCTATGTTATTAGGCATGACAGAACCAAACTTTTTACTAATATGCATTGTGCTGTGAAAGAATTCCAGAATAAGTAAAAAAATGGAATAA